TCTCGTGACGATGAGTTATTACGCAAATAGTGACTTTCAATTGCTTAAATGATTGTGATGGAACTGCGTTATTTGGAATATTAATTAATAACAAAATTTTATTTTTAGGAAAAAACTTACAAGTGTTAATTACTTATATTCAATTCTAAAAGCAATGACTTGGCATGAGGTTCAATATTAATGCGAGACATCCGTTATTGTGGCAGGTTGTAAGTGGACAAATGAATCCTGGGGAAGGTCTTAACTATTAATTTCGTAATTTGCACACAATTAGAGACGAACAAATAATTAATGCAGAGAGAATATTTTTAATCTTTATTTAAATGTAATCTGAAATCAAAGGATAACATGGAGGGGACAGGAGAATATTGATGAAATGACAAAAAAACCCCTCACAGGCTGAAAACTTTGGCAGTGTCAAAATTCAACTTTCTCAGAAAATTACGAAAATTAAAATATGGGTTGAATTTTTCATGAAAAAGGGCTGAATTAAAAAAATTGTGCAATCAATTTTTTTTGCATGAGAGGAGCTAATTCTTTCTGCGTGAGAGAAGCTAATTCTCACATTTGTTAGCTCTAAAAATTCCTCGAAGTTCAGATAAATATCAATACATTTTCAGATAATAGAAAAAAAAAGGATGTATTTAATATTTTTATTGTATTTCTACTGCTATATTGTACTAGTCTAGTCTGAAATCTTGCAGTGTTAATGGATAAAAATATTTGAATCAGTATAAAACAAAAAAATTGAGAGATAATTATTTTAAACCCGAGGGGCATCTTCCCTTTGGACCATCACAGATATAAATTGATCAAATCCATTGGAAAAATATAGGGGTGGGCCGAGCCGGGACTGACCCATGAATCGGCCCGTCGGTTTTGAGTTCAGGCTGTTTAGACATGTGCTCGCGTCGAGGACTTTGTCCCCAGATCTAATCCAGCCCATGGTGGGTCGGGTCGCGAGTCAGCCCATACTCTTTTTTTTCTATTCAAATTTTTAATTTTTTTTCAAAATTTTTTGCTAGATTAGTACGTATAGTCTAAAGAGAAAAACTTGTATTTTATATTTCTAAAAAGTCTAAACCTATAAAATTATAATTGGTGACGAAACTATCCCCAAGGACAAAAGGTTCACAATAATTTGAATGTTTTTAATAAGTCAAACTGAATATAAATATTCATTAAAATACTAAATAAAGTTTAGAAAATTTCTACTACTGCTAAAATTACTAGGGGTGGGCAAAAACCGAAACAAACCGGTTCAACCGAAAAAACCGCCCGAAAAAACGGATCGGTTAACCGAACCGAATTAAATGGATGAGAAGAAGTCTATAAACCGCCCGAACCGAATTAAACCGGTCTGGATCCGGTTTGAACCCCTGAACCGCCTAAAAAAAACCGAACCGAATTCTTAAACAAAAAGTAGCTGCGAGCCTTGGGTGTGAAGAAAATTTATGGCTGAATGTTTAGCATTTAAGAATTGTGGGGTGGAGTTTATACTAACATATATTTGAGTACGCTGATATAGTTAAGTGAGATTTCCGTAAATCAATACAAGATGTTGAGGTTGAAGGATAAATTTAGTGTTTTGGTCAAATTTCAGTGATAAGATGAATACAGCTTGCTGGTGCTGGATATCAAATTAACCTATAGTATAGGCTGTCAAGGATATAAGATAATTCTTGATGAGAAAAAGGTAGCTAAAAATTAACGAAAATCATCAAAAGGTGTGTGTGCCTGCCAAACATTGTTCTTTCTCTAAAAAAGGCTACATAATTACATGGTCCTCCTAGCGTATTAAGCTAGTTATATTTAGATCATACAATTTGATTAAGTGGCTTAGTACAGTTTTGATTGTTTCTTTTCAGTTTTGATTGCTTCTTTTCAGTTTTGGATATAACTAAAACTTACCCAGATTTTTGTGAAATAGAGTTAATTCGGTTCAAAACCGAAACCGAACCGAACCGAACCGAATTTCGGTTGGGCCGAATATTCGGATGAAGGGGAAAAAATCTGGATCTGGATGAGAGTTTTGAGAATCCGAAAAATTTGGATTGGATGCGGATTGGGCTTAAAACCGAACCGAACCGAATACGCCCAGCCCTAAAAATTACAATTCAAATATCTAGAAGTTGCAGTTTTTAATTAAGTTGCTATTAAAACTATATCAAAATGGCTCGTGCCTACTTTTATGTTTGCGGGTTTAGAATGCATCCCAACCTGACTCGCAGTCGAGATATATCACAAACCAGATTGGGTCTGACCTAATCTTGACCTATAGCGGGCTAGTCTGCTTCGGCCAGTGGTTCGAACCGGCCTAAGCCAACCAGTAGAAAAAGGTTTACCTCCTAAGCCTGTTCAGTATTTCATATTCGGATCCAAAAGTATCCAAACTCACCGGCACCCGTTCCGCTCTTACCCCAATCGAACTGCTCCGGCTTTACCGAACCCGTTTACCAAAGCTCGAATCCGACCCGTTATTAAAATGGAAGATCTCTCCGTCATCGAGGAGAGAGAAAATCGCGAAATCCCCCCCGAAGTTTTGAAAAAAATTCGATCTCTCTCTCTCTCTCTCTATGTCGGCGAAAACCTCACGTAGTTAATCTCGGATTACATTCTGATCATGTTTCAGTCTAGAATTAGGGTTTTCTCTTCGGAACGATTCAAAATTAGTTGTTTTTTTTAGGTTATTGATTGATCTCTAACCATTACTTTCTACTTGTTAGGTTATTGAATTGATCTCTGCGGAGTTGAAAGAGAGATTCGTTGGTAACGTAATATTTTTGTTCAAATTAGTTGTTTTTCCCCCCCAATTTCATTTTAATCATTTTCTTGAGCATGGTGAGCTCTGCATATGATTGGTTCTTTGCTAGTTCTTATCATTCGACATCTTAACATCTTTAGGGCTTGTTTTGCATACACAAAAAAGTTAATTGCAAGTTTGAAAGTCACTTTCCACGTCAGCGTGCAAGTGAAAATGCCGAGTTTGTTTGCCATACAGATTATTGTCGATGCGATGTACTTGCAATGATTTTTTTTTTGTTTTGGATAACTATCAACAAGAACAACAACAAAGCCTTTATTCCAAATCTTTTAGGGTCGCGTATGCGATACTATTCTTCCAGTTGGTTGCATTTGAATTATGGACAAATTTTCAAAAGAGACCCATTTGCGAACTTAATCCCAAAAAACGACCTCATTCAAACAAAATTACAAAAACCGACCTGGTTTCAGCCTCAGCGCTGAAATCAGGTCGGTTTTTGAAGAAAAAAAAATTCCGAAACTTCATGGGAGTTGAACTCCCGTGAAGTTTAGTAGATCTGCTAAACTTCACGGGAGTTCAACTCCCGTGAAGTTTCAGCGCTGAGGCTGAAACCAGGTCGGTTTTTGTAATTTTGTTTGAATGAGGTCGTTTTTTGGGAATAAAAATCTAAATGGGTCTCTTTTGAAAATTTGTCCTTTGAATTATCTTTCTTAATTGCTTCTAATCAAATTCTTTTAGGGCTATCTACCCTCACTTGTCCTTCATTTTAGTGCCACCCCTGCCTTTCGGTAATTGACAAAACCAATACAACATAGTCGGATATACATGACATGAATCCAAAAGAATGAACTATCAAAGAATGAACTTTTTTCACAAAACTATAATACAACATAGTCAGATATACATGACATGAATCCAAAAGAATATTGTTTGATAACCATCAAAGAATGAACTCTTTTCACCAAACTTTACTTATCATACTATCATCCCTTAGTCATACTAATTTTTACAAACTCTTTATTTTTTGTATTTATTATGTTCTTAAGTTATAATTATTTTAATAATGTAATAATATAATATGTTAATAAGTAAATAAAATATTTTAATTAAGAGTTGTCTCCGCTTTTCCACTTTCAGGTTTACATCAGAACTATTCTAGGGGAAGTTAGATAATGCACTAAATCGGACAAGGACTTTTTTGCGTTTCACTCTCATATGCGCTTTCAATAAATCAAACACCTGAAGTGTTGAAAGCATGTCACTTTAATACTTTCATTTTACACTTGCATGCAACCAACCATACCCAATCAATAATGAGAAATTGAAAACTTTTAATTTTTATTCCATACCCTTATCCACTCTTCTTACCCTTGCCGATCGATGCTCTTAGCCGTCGAACAAGTGATGTAATTATTTTTGGACTGTACATTCAACCAACCATCGTTTAATATATTATTTTCTTTTTTTCTATCTTTTCAAGGGAGAAGATGGCTTAACCCATGTTATTATAAAAATGCTGATGTATTATAAAAGTGAAGAGCAAAATAGAAAAGATGTTTACATTGCAATAGCTTGATACTGGCGAGAGGTATACAAGAAGTACACAATATTACACTTGACAAAACAAATTTGGCTGAATTATAGATTATTGGTCCAATTAAAAATGCAATGATTTGTTTTCTTGTCTCTATTGTTAAGTAGTATTGTCTTGTAAATGATTGTGTCATTTTGGCTAAAGAATGCTGAATATCATCAATAATATTTTGAGTGTATCTGTGCAAATCAATATGAAAGATATCTAGATTATTACAGTTTCTTAAATAAACAATTCGAGAAAAATTACTTCAATTTTGAAAAGAAAATGCAGGTACTCTGAGAACTACGCTTGGTTCCTCTTTATAAATCTGAGACATGAACTTTGTAAAATACAGTTACTCCATACTTTCTGATGAAATCTAAAATTGAGCTTTAGTAATCCCCTTTTTTGAAAGTTATCTGGTAGCCAAACAACCCTTTACAATATATAATTACTGAAACCTTTGGGGTCAGATCTGCAGGGCAACTTGAAGCATGCGATCAATTCTTTAAATATTAGACGATGTATCTTATATATATGTGTACTTTTGATTATGTGAACTTCAATATATAAATCTAAGCCGACATATTTCCTGTCTTTTGGCATTCTCTTACACTTTGCCTTCCTTGCAGAAGTACCGGAGAGCAGCAAACAATATCACATCGTCCAGCAATGTCTTTTCAGTCTTTGTTCCCCTCGTTACTGCTCGGGACATCAAATTCTTCGCATCCCTCCACGCTTACAAGTTCCTCAAGCATGAGCTCATATAGAGCATCAGATAGACCACAGTCTCCTTCCACTGGGTCGCCTTCACCTGAAGCTGCGGGAATAATTGCTCACTTGAAGGACAAAAGGTAGTACTTGCAGCTCAGTTTGTGTTAATAGTATTAAGTTCATATTTTTCATGGTTATTATCTACTTGTAATTTTCCTGACAATTTAGATGTGAAGTTTAAGAAAATTAGGTTCGTCTTTTACTGGAGCATGTCGTATGTTGCACATGGAGAAGCATAGTGAAATAGTTATTTAGGAAGCTAATTAATACGCTATACGAGCAAGTTATGTTTCATCAGCTTGAGTTTTAGGCTGCAACTAATACTGTTTCTATTACCCAAATTGTAATCCCCATTTTCTTTGTGTTTCCACTTATGCTCTATCTTTATGATGTTTGGACTGACAAGGACTTGCATGTTGCTTGCGATAAATTTCTGAAGAGTAGTGCAACTTGGTCACAATTAATTATGCTTCCTCGGTATGTAAGTGCCATTTTCTTCCATCTTTATTGTGATATATGCTAAAAATAAATTAGGTAATAGGTTGGCTTTTAAAAGATGGTAAACATATATTCGTTCATGTCAGTTCTTGTCAAGTGATAATGTAACTTGTTCACATAATAACTGCACATAACCTTCATTCAATGTAGTTGTCATCCTCATACTTTAATCTCATCTCTTTTAACTTGTCTTCTGAGATTTTTCTCTAACGCTGCCGACATTGATGCAATCTTTATTTTGTACCGAGTTAAACACTTTGCTTAGAAGCATTTAAAAACTGCTAGGATTTTCCCCCCTTCCCTTATTCCTTTTCCTCCTAACCCCCATATTTTGCATTTCATTTTAGCAGCTAATTTGATAGCTTCTGTAATAATCAAGTGCTTGATGACTTATGGCAGTACTGACGAGCTGAGGAAGCTTTTAACTGACAAAAATGTATACAAAGCCTTTTTCAATTCACTCGATCTTGTAAAGGACCAGCGCAATGTAAGTGCAGAAGTTTCTAGTCCTCTTTATTCCAATTCTTGATAAATAAGCTGAGATTTGCTTCTTCTTTTATTTTGTCAGCCCAAGGTAATATAACTAGTACAAAAATTTACTTTAAATGTAGTTAAATTAAGTTGGATCCTGGTTGTTTCTTTTTGACGTTTCCTTAATCTATGATAGTCTTTTGCTATACTATTTTGATGGTACTTCATTTATATGTTAGTCGAAGTGTTGGTAACTTATTATACAATACCATTGTCTTGAACTTTTTTCTCATTTTAATGATCACACGTCAAGTAACTTTTTTTGGCTGAAGCCTGATATATACTGGGATCGTGCCAGCGTGTTAAATGTATTAACATGTCTATCGCGTGGCTTTGTGCTTGTCCATACTTCACCATCTCCTGTATTTCATCGTTGTGATGGTTGTTTACTCATCGCATTATCTTGAGACGTGTTTGTAGTTAACCATGCTGAGGTTATTGGAGATTAAAATATTCAACGGAAATGAGTGAGACAACTTTTATTTGAGGTCAATTCTCCATTGAGAGTTCATATAACCAGTTGATATGCTGTAGATAACATCATAACAGAATGATCTCAATCAGATTGGCTAGGGATCAAAACTCATTACTTCAAATTACTCAAATTAGTGTTTGTGGAAATATATGATTATAAGTTTATAACCCTTAACTTTGATGATAATTTCGAAGTTTTGTTGCGTGCAAGGAACTTTAAGATGGTCCCAAAGCAGCCAAGATTCAAATTCCACCGATGGTCATTTAAAACATATCTAAAAATGCACCACTGCATAAAGTAACCTAAATTTTGGTCCATCAAAATGTCACTTGGCCTGTCAGGAGGAGTGTATAACTCTCAACTTTCATTGTATCTTCGGGCTTGGCGTGGCGCTAACTTCCAGTTCATAGTTATGGCATACCATATTACTGACATACACCATTCCTTGCTCTGGTTTCAGCTAAGCCGGGAACTTCAAGAGGAGACGATGCAGCTTGCTAGTGAGAGTTGTGATTTCTTCATATACCTGTTTCGCTGTAACATCATAACATAACCCTCACTCCAAGACTTTTTTGTTACAGGGGAAAACTTGGAGAAGGAAACTCGCATGTCAGAGCTCCGAAACCAGGTGAATTTCTGATATACTCCTGTCTTATATATTGTTCGGTAAACTGCACAAAGCTATCATGAGCTTTTGGTGTTTTGCAAGAAACTACTTCAATTTCTTATTACTGAAAACTACCATAAACTTTTTTCCCTAAAAGGTATCATGTAAGACAGCAGTCGGTTAAATTATAATGTGCTTCTCACGCGACATGTTTTGGACAATGTTGCTCTTATGTACTTTGTAAATTGTCTATATTCCTTACAAATGTTGTGGGTTGATAAATATTAATAAGGAGTGTAGACCTTTTATCTAAGATATTTTTCGCAGCAATTTCCAATAGCTCACGGCGTTTTTCTGCACTTCTAATAGTTCATGGTAGTTTTTAAGATAAAAAAAGTTTTTGGTGATTCTGTGCAAAACCCCCCAAGATTCGTGATACTTTTGTGAATATTACCCTATATAATTACGGAGGCGATAGACTTTTAGATAAAATTGTTTTCAATTTGAATCCATGAAGAGTCAGTTACCTGTTATCAGTGATAAAGTGGGGATATGTGCTGGAAAAAGGATTTCTAACTGTGTTTCCATCCTATTGAACAAACAGTGCATGATCATCCGGACAACTGAGCTTGCTGATGCACAAGAGAAATTAAAAGAACTGGAGAAGCAAAAGGATGAAATCTTGAGGTTCTATTCTCCTTTGTTGATGCTCCAGAGCTTGCAAGGTAAACTAGTGGAAACCCGGCACTAATCATTATTTTCTTGTCGATTGTATTCTTCATACTTTTCCTTTTTTGAACAAAGCCAAGACAGCTCAGAAAATGTACAAGCTAAATAAAAATAGATACAAAATATACATCAAGAGGATCAAGTAAATCGCTCATAATATTGTTTGTTTGTTTTATAGATGCAATGAACAAAGATGAAGAGGAATCAGAGACTCTACACAAAAAGCTCCTTGAGAAAGAGATTGACTTGACTACTTTCTTACAAAAGTACAATAAACTTCGTAATGATTATCACAGAAGAGCCCTTGTCCATCTTGCTGCAAAAACATCTGTTATGTGACGAATGCTTGTATTAGTTATATGACCAACTAACCCTGATTTTCCTTGAAGCAATGATAAAGGTTTAGGTTGATCTTTTTTGTGTTTGCTGTCTATCTCAAGTTAAGAAATTTGGTGACCTGATATGACTTGAGTCTAGTTTCTATTATCAGAACCGTCTGCATGTGAGCGAACGGTTTTTACTTTTTAGCCTTCTGCTAGGATAGTAGGGAGGCAAAATAGGAAGTTTTCCCCTCCACCAAAGCGCTCAAAACCGCCAGCTTGCATACGGGTTGTCATGTATCCACATGTCCTATCAGAGACGTATCGACACATAATCCTATCTTCACTTGAAAATCCTAATAATTTAAAAAAAATTACTTTATAACAAAGATTCTATCAATCAAAGCTCTCATTTCTAATTCTCTTTGCCTAAGAATCCTTATCAAATTAAAAATATTCATAATTTGAAAATTCTATTAATCAAAGCCATTCTTTTTTTTCGAGATTAGACAATTATCAACTGCCCCCTTCAAAATTAAAAACTTACAAACAACCCACTAAAAGGACTAGTATACATTTTCCAAGATTTGAGGGACAAATATGCAATTACTGAAGAATTAAGGCACTAATATCTGAAAAAACCCAACCTAAAAACAAGAAACCCTATTCGTAAACAGGCCGGGCCACATTTCCCGGGCCAAACCCAACTCGCTTCAATCCGACCCGATCTCCCGGGCACGAACCTGAAAGACGGC